GGCGGCCATGGTGCTCTTTCTTGGCCTTAAATCAAACTGCTGCTCACAAATTGTCACCTCTAAGTCTAGCGTCAAGGTCAAGGCTTCTTTATTGTCATTCACGTCATGTGGTACATGTGGTGGAACAAAATTATGTACATAGGGTCCCCGTTACATCCAACAAAAGTATAAAATGTAAAAGAAAAACATTAACCAGATCTAAGAAATGAACTAAGAAAAATGCTCAACTAAGAATATGCTAGGCACTAATGGTACACAAAACATACTTCGAACAGCAGCAGCAACTCTATAACTCTCTCCACAGTCTTCTTTATGCGACTCATCAGCTTAATTCCCCTGTAGTTGCTACAACTAAACCAGAACAAGTTTTCAATAGTTTGTGCAGGGATTTCTATGGAAGCTGACGTTATTTCCTGCAAACAGGAAGTGGAATGTTTTCCTGTGTGCAACGGCTGATCTTGCTCACATCCTGCCTCTGGCTATCAAGGAAGACCAGACACCCCGACCTAAAGCTCTGTCAGGATTTTGCCTCACTTATCGTCACCAAGACACGTTCTAATTGGTGCCTGTTGCTCAGTATTTCTGTTTTTACCTCTAAATGTAGCTAAATTGTGTATGACGAATTGTTCTTACTCAGAGGACATAAAAGCACAGTTCTGACCTGTTCACATTTACCTCTAACCCTCCTCCATATTCTACCATTTGTTTTTATGAAAAAAGTATTGTGGATGAAGTATTTGATACACCCACTGCACAAAACATTCCTGTGGTTTAAATGAGGGGACGGTAGATGAAGGAAGGCAGTGAGTCATGGACTCTGGACCACAGTTACACGGGTGAAGCACCAGTAAGGAACTTGTGCTTTACTCTTTCTAAACTCCCTCGAGCTCATGATTCTACCAAGAGATCATCACAGTGCTGCTGTGTCAGCTTCCTTTGTATTTCAGAAAGTGAATTTCATAGTTATCTAAGATCGTGCCTAACTTCTTTTGATTTTGGACTCAGTATTTCCACAGTGACACCCAAATTCTCAACTTTGTGGGTGATTCTACCTAAATGCTAGTAGCTCCAAATGCTCAGTAATCCTTAACTGACATTTATTTTATTAGTATTAATCTGAATTAATCATACGCATATTCATATGATGTTAGCCATTTTTAACGGTGTGTATAGGTTGTGTCAGAAGTTTCTGAATGCTCGACTTTTCTGACCCTATTAAATATTTCTTTCTTCAGTACTGTCCAATCCATTATTAACTTCATTCTAGTCAGTTTATCGCTATGCCCTGAAGAACAGGATTAGCTTCTGCTTTTGAAGAGTCTGAGTGAACTGTGACCATGTCTACTGGTCTGTGCGTTATGACGGAGAAGGCAGGACCAGGCCAGACTGGCTGTAGCTTGAACAATGAGGCCCTGTAGTGTTAGCTCACGACTGGTTCGTTTGTGTGTTTGTAGATATGGACAAGCACATGTGTGTGTGCGATTTGATGGCTGCTCTTTGTTTCCCTGCCTTGAGCATTGCTGGCCAGAGCTCAAGCCTGACTAATACGCATGTATAAATACACCAGGCTGCCGTCACTTTGTACAACATCAAGCAAACCATTGTTTCACGTAACTGTGACTTCAGAGATAAACCCCTTTCTTTGTTCCCATTAATGTGGCAACTGTTTTCTAACTGTTGTTTCCTTTTTTGTTGGTCACAAGATCTACAATTTTATAACTAAAAATGTGTTTTTTAATGCCTCTCTTCTAAAATCAGTCAATCACCTTTGTAGAATCACAGGTTGTGTCCACATTTTTTGATAAAGCTGGCACAGCTCTGGACTGTATTCAAGGATAATCTTTCTCTCGTATGACACCATGAGAATTATGTAATTTTGTCTGGCTGTCATTTGGCAAACAAATATGATGAAGAGTTTGTCTTCCTGTTTCATTTTGTTTTTTCTAAACGGTGTCACAAACATGGCATAATATATGGGTTCAATACAAAAGAACATTATCAGAAAAAACAACTATATTAATAAAACTGGTGTAAAGTGATTAAGACATGAATCCCTCTGAACAACAGGAACATTTGTCTTCTGGAGCTTCGCTAGCTACAGTAAATTTGTTGTGGAGAAATTCCTTGACCTGGCTTTTGTGTTTCAGAGATGTCTCCGTACCACTCTGCAGTGGTGTCCCACAAACACACGTTTCCTTGTCATGGCATGTTGCTGCCACTTGAGAATCTGTGGACCAGTTTGATTTATGCTGCTCTTGAGCTATGTTTGGATCTGGCACCAACGTCCTCCTTGAGACCAGTTAAAGACTGTTTTGCTCAGACACCTAATTGACACAGTGGGTTACCCATGCAACTATTTACTGTAGGATAAATGTGCAATAGAGATATAATTGTCTTGACTTGCCTCCCACTGGTACAAGTGTGTCAACACCTTTATGACTCGCACACGTTTCACTGATTGTATGTGACTCCATGGCTTACGGTTAGTGCATGTGGACATGTAGACATGGGATGTTTCAGCGTTCAAAGCAGTGATGTTTTTGTGTTTACTTATTCTTTTAAAGAGAAATCACTATAATTGTTGTGTGCGTATAATGTGAGCAGGGAAAAGAGGAGGCTGTGGAAGGTTATGGTCTCTGAGAGAGTCTTTTCCTGGTTTACTGTAAATGTATGCTGCCAAAGCACCTCATAGCATTGTTGTCTTCCAAAAACCCCATTCCTCGTTCCCCTGTACTATAAGCTGAACCCATAGGACCAGACCACCTGCCTCCCCGACCACCCGGTCACATGTCCTCAGCATGCTGTTGTTTCTCATAGCGCAGCCCTTTTCTCTCTGCTTAGACTGTTGGGGGAAAGAATGGATGATCGGATGAATGAATACATCACAAAACACTTCAGAGACGTAGATGCATTTGGGAATGTCGGGGGGAGCCGTGGTTAAATGGGTCAGGTCCCCTAACACAATAGTGGCATTACTGTGAGAGTCGTAGGGGCAGACAGGAGGGTAGAGACGTGTACGCCAATGCTCTCTGTGCCAATTATAGACATAAATAACTTCCTCACTGAGCTGCCATGGAAATTCAGGTCAGAGGGTTAACTCTGTTTTCAAGTAGTTGAGGCCAACTCATTCCCACTGGTTTGATGTATAGACGTGTAAAGAAAAACAAGTTTAACACAAATGAAAGTGTACAGTATCCACAAACTTTTAAAGATCATCATGTATTTAAACTAGCAAATATTATGTCCTGAAAGTTATCAATTAGTAAGGAATTACAGCTGTTGCAGTTGTCAGTGATCAAGTTTTTGTATAAATGTATTTGTAAGAAAAATATACTCTAATTTACTTAGTTAAAAAAGATTAGATTAAGCTTTATTTCTTATTACATTTGCATTAATATAAACACAATATCTGTTGGGTTGTCTGCACATCTGCTGGTCTTCTTTCTCAGCGAGCCCACTGTGACGCCCACTATCAGGTGTCCCTTGGCCCCCCTGCAGCTGGCGCCTCTCCTGTAGGTAGCTTCTGTAAACTGTATATTTAGGATCAGGGAAGGTGATGACACTAATGACCATGATGATGTTGAAGATGATGGGTGACAGGGTTAGAGGATTAGGTGTTGATTAAGGGGTGAGGTTGTGAGATTATCACGATGACAGGGTGGGTACATGACGCACTGTGTTATTTTGAAATCCCGGTTGTGGAAGCAGTAGTAAATTAGTACCCTTCCACATGTGACGGTGTTTGTTTCTTCCTCCCTCCTTTCACATTGGACTGTGTTCAGCTGCCGCAGACGGCTTCATCATAACTCCCTGCAGGCAGGCAACAGGGTTGCTTCATCAGCTGGAGAGAAGTGGAGCAGAGCTGTAATTTAGATGTGGATACTGAGCACTTTGGATGTTTGAAAGAACAGTGTTGTTTGATAAAGAAATTAAAGACTATCCTGCCTAATATTGCAACCATTACAATCAGATTCACTGTCATGTTGCAGTTCTAAGCAGTTCCCAGTGCTTTGGAAGAACCAGCACTGAATATTCTTTGCATACATGTACTAATCTAATGGGATGGTGGCAGTATGGTCTTTCACTGGTCTTGTACTCCTGAGGCCACAGGTTCAAGTCCACGCTGCATCAGCGAGGGCATTTGGAGTAAAACAATTGCCGAATCTTGCATGTGGGTGCACTTGCTGTAGTGACCCTTGCAGAAGGGAACAGCTGAAAGAAAAACATGTTCTAATCAAATGTATAAGAATTCTTATTTTTAAAGACTAATCATACATAAAGAGAAGTGTGCATGGCAAATTTGATTTGGAGAATGCATGAGACCAAAATATTACTGTTTAGAATGAGCAGCATGACGGCACAGTCGAGCAACTAAATACATGTTCTGCTTCAATTCTCCTCGACAATCCATCCAGGAATAATACGGGAATGTTTCCACTCTTTGAGGACTCGGGTCTTTACCCTTTCTGTTGTTATGTAGGTAACATGTTTTATACATTTTGCTTCATTAAGTCATGCAAAAAGCAAGACCGATGACCTTGTCTACTACAGTAGAACAAGATGTTCGGGGTTGGTCTACATGCAGTTTACAGTCATGTGTCATCTGTACCTGGTTCATTTCCTTAAAATAGTCTGCACATCATCTCAGTGTTACAATAATTAACATCCACACAGACACGGTCTGGATTTACAATTTATATGTTTGCTATTGTTGCCTGTAACTGGGACCCTGTGTACATAATTTAGTTCCACCTCGTGCACCACGTGTGATGTGAATGATAATAAAACCTACTTGGACTTGAATTAACTGCTGTTCTTGGCTGCAGCTCCGTTTAGCATTGCACTTGTCTTGTGTATGTGAAGTCAGTTTTAGCAGTCTGATAAAGTTCCTCCACACTAGAAGTGTCTGTCAAGTTAAATTTGATCAAAATGTTCCTCAGATAATTTAATTTAATCTTGAATGTTTCTGAGTTTGCTCCTTCTTTGCTGTTGTGACGCAGAGTGCAGCTGTGGAGGAAGCGGTGATATGGGAACAGCACACGGTGACCCTTCACAGGGTAAGTGTTAACAGCTATTTAATTCTACCTGCATTACTGAGCATCAGGAAACTATTTCATCCATTCTTCCATGTCTTTTCATTTTCTGCTCTCCGCCTGTCTTTGGCGACGCACTTTTCCCTTTTACCTCCCAGCTCCTTTCTGTCCTTTGCCCATCTCTGTCGATTCTCCGCCTGTGCAGAGAATCTGCTCGAGGAGCAGGATGTGTGATCACAGAACAATAGTCATGGAATCCAGATGGCAGGAAACAAGACTAAGGAAGATGAAAATTAGCATCCTTTTCCTCACTACTTCATTTCACTTCCTTCCTGCAACAGACTCCTCTTAATTCAAATCCAGACAGGGAAAGAAAACGAGAGCAGTATTTTGATTTGCTCATCGCCACTAAAACTTTCAGTCTACTGTTGTTGTTGTAGGTAAATCACTCTCATTTATGGTGTACAACCAGGGGCTTGGGCTTTAACAATCAAACTTCTGAGTACTTTTTTCAAAGGTTTTAATCACTGTCTTGCTGTTTCCTGAACCCTGTACTTTTTGTACTGAGGCAGTAGACTCTGAGAGATGAGATACAACCCAGCATTATTGAGCCCAGGATTATTGAGCCCAGCATTATTGAGCCCAGGATTATTGAACCCAGCATTATTGAGCCCAGGATTATTGAACCCAGGATTATTGAGCCCTGGATTATTGAGCATGCATCAGGACATATGATGAGATAGAACGTTATCGATCCCGCAGGAAACTGTTGTTGATGCTGCTGCACCGTGGGGCTGCACAGAGCACCTGTCTAGACTGGCCTGCTGGCTGTAATCTAATTAGCAGAGGCTTTATTGAGGCTGAAGACGCAGCCTTGTGTGACCTGCAGCTCTCACGCGTCAGTCTTATGTTGTGGTAGTGGGTTAACTGTTAACTGCTTCACGCAGCATGCTGCCTGGGCCGCTGTCAGCACTCCTACAATGTTTGGCTGCATTGATTTGTGGTTGACAGACCTTTCCTCAGTTCATTGTAACTCTTTGATAGAACAAACCCCTTCTTTGAGTTTAGCAGTACCAGATTGTCTCGCCTGTTTCTGTGTGTTCAGGCTGCTGGATTTGGGTTTGGCATTGCCATCTCGGGTGGGAGAGACAACCCTCATTTCCAGAGTGGAGAGACGTCCATTGTGATATCTGATGTGTTGAAAGGAGGTCCTGCAGAAGATCAACTACAGTAAGCTGTCCACTATATAGATGTTTTTCCTATTTTTGGATAAAGCTACGTGTTCAGAACAATATTGGAGGTTTCATTCAGCTATGTATTCATTTAATATAACTTTTTCATTTATTAGAGAAAATGATCGTGTTGTTATGGTCAATGGCGTTTCAATGGACAACGTGGACCATTCGTATGCTGTTCAGCAACTTCGCAAGAGTGGCAAAAATGCAAAGATTGTAAGTTCAGCAAATATTTACAAAATTGTCCATGATGTTTCGGAGAATCCTCAAATGTTTTTATTTATTTCATTTTGAAACGTGTTTTTCTCTTTAATAATCAAAAACCCATTTCTCCTCCAAGACTATTCGTCGAAAAAGGAAAGTGCAAATCCCAGTTTCGAAGCCAGGCGACAGAGAGACGATGTCTGAGCACGAGGAAGAGTACAGCGACGACGATGGTTCTGAACAACGCAGGGGCCGCGCTGGCCAAAGTGCCCATGGAGGTGCGAGCGGAGGCACCGGCAGACGGCAGGACCGCGAGCGCAGCGGCAGCGGGAAGCGGGATCACAGTGCCTCGCGTGAGAGGAGCATCTCACCGCGATCCGATCACCATTCACAAGTTTCATCTGCTCCACCCAAGCCTTCCAAGGTCACCCTCGTCAAGTCTCGCAAAAATGAAGGTACGCCTCGTATTGTCCTGGTGTTTCAACACGTTCATTTGTCTTTAGAAGACACAAATCATAGAAAACAACTGCAAGAGATTCCTCATATGTCCAAATGTTACTAATACAAAAATCACATCAGGAATTAGGCACGCCTGATAATCCTGTTTGCAGACACTCACCGTAGAAGAGTTGCTCATGTGACTTTGTTCCATCGCCTTTGAAAACAGAATATGGCCTGCGGCTGGCCAGCCACATCTTTGTGAAAGACATTTCTCCAGAGAGCCTTGCTGCCAGAGATGGAAACATCCGGGAGGGAGATGTTGTGCTTAAGGTGAGACAAAAGAGACGATTCACACAGACTGACCTGAATGGATCATAGCATCGTGTTTCTTTATTTATTCAATCCTACGTTGTGCTTTCTGCAGCGGTGCCATGGTTAATTCATGTGCTGGCTCACTAATAGAAATACCACACTTTGTTCAACTACTGCGATTTATTTTCTCTATTCTGTTTTTGAGTCAATCATTTTCTCATGAACTTGAAGAAATGCATAAAAAATCCAGTTAGGCTGTTTGATTTAGGAGCATCGAGTTGAAAAGTGGTTAAAACTGGTCCAGATGACATGATTTAACCTTTTTTGTTGTCATCTACCTGGATGATTGAGCTTACAAACCTTTTGCTTTATTAAATAGGAAAATGACTTTTCATTTACTTTCATTGGTAATAATTATATATCTTTTCATTTCAAGTCTTGCTAAATTTAAACATTTCAAACGAGCGTCACTGAAAACTCTGTGTTTTTGTCTCGTACTGATCTGCTGTTCTTCTCTGGCAGATCAATGGCACCGTTACAGAGAACCTGTCACTGGTAGATGCCAAGAAGCTGATTGAGAGGTCAAAGGGTAAGCTGAAGATGGTGGTGCAGCGGGATGAAAGAGCCACACTGCTCAACATTCCTGACCTTGATGATAGCATCCCATCAGGCAATAACTCAGAAAGAGATGGTGAGACGACACTCGTGCAGCTTTGCCTCGTTAATCGCAGCTAGGTTGAATTTTAGAAAAGAGAAAACTACGAGGAGAGATTGTTGATGAGTTCCAAATGTTGGTTGCTCGTTCATTTTGTTCAACTTGATTTAAGTTATGGTTACCTGCCTACATACGATCGACTTTAATTTCAGACATTTCAGAGATACATTCACTGACATCAGAGCATTCCAACCCTTCCCACGGGAGAGGCCGATCACGTTCACCCAACAGGACAGAAGCAGCGGCCCACCTCCGCAGCTCACCTCGGCAGATGAGCAACGGCAGGTAGGCAAAGTGCACGCACGTGCACACACAACTGCAAATCCGGTGATGTGACACGGCTGTCGCGTGTGATGCATTAATACTCCCACCCTCTCCATACATCATGTTCACACCCACAGGTGAGTGGGTGCTGAGTAAGCACCTTGCAGCACATTAATCAGTATATGGAGGCAACACGCATAAACCATCACTGTCCCCGTGGAGCCGTCAGTGAGTTCCAGTAACGACTTTACCTGCTAAAATCCAGAGGAAGAGGAAGAACCATCGCTGACCGTTAGACGAAGGACTGGTTTTTACAGATCTTGTTTCAAAATGTTTCTGTACTCCATAGCTAAGGAAATGTCCCACAGGCATTTCAAACCAGATCTGTCCGTTGTCCTCCCTCACTTACAGTATTTTGAGTTGTCAACCACTAGATCTATACAACATTCATACAGCTCTATACTAGATCTATACAACATTCATACAGCTCTATGCTAGATCTATACAACATTC